GGTGTGGAAAAAAGCGAACACTCTTGCACTGTTGGTGGTAATGTAAATTGATACAGCCACTATGGAAGATGGTATGGGGATTCCTTAAAAAAACTAGGAATAAAATCACCATATGACCCAGCAATCCCACTCCTAGGCATATACCCTAAGGAAATCAAAGTTGAAAAAGACACATGCATCCTATTATTCACTGCAACACTCTTTACAATAGCTGGAACATGGAAGCAACCTCGATGTCTATTGACAGATGAATGCATAAAGAAGTTGTATTACATATACACAATGAAATATTACTCAGCCGTAAAAGGAACACATTTGAGTCAGTTCTAATGAGGTGGATGAACCTAGAGCCTATTATACAGAAGTAAGTCAGAAAGAGAAAGATAAATATCATGTCTAACACATACATATGGAATCTAGAAAAATGGTACTGAAGAATTTATTTACAGGGCAGCAATGGAGAAACAAACATAGACAATAGACATATGGACATGGGGTGAGGGGAGGAGAGGGTGAGATGTATGGAAAGAGTAACATGGAAACTTACATCACCATATGTAAAATAGATAGCCAACGGGAATTTGCTGTATGGCTCAGGAAACGCAAAAAGGGGCTTTATATCAATCTAGAAGGGTGGGATGGGGCATAAGACGGGAGGGAGTTTCAAAAGGGAGGAAATATATGTATACCTATGGCTGATTCATGTTGAGGTTTGACAGAAAACAACAAAATCCTGTAAAGCTATTATCCTTCTATTAAAAAATAAAATTAATGACCTGAAAAAAAAGACAAATAAGATGGATAATAATAATATGCGTTGGCCCAAGATGTGAAGAAGCAGAATTTTTCAAGCCCTTCTATGTGAGTGTAAATTAAATTACAGAGCATTCTGGAAAGGAATCTGGGCAACATTCTGTGAAATAAAGTATGTATGCTATGACCAGTGATCCCACTTCTGGGTATGTATCCCAGAGATATTTTTATACAGGTCCTTAAGGAAACACATACAAGAGCTTGGTTCGTTGTGACAGAGAAATAGAAATAATGTGATCTTTATTATTAGGTGAGTGGATGGGGAGTGGGGCAAGCTCCAGAACACTCTGGAGCAAAGAACACTGAAGTAGAAGTACTTATGACAACACAGGTAGATCTACAGTGTTGAGGGAAAGGATAAGATAGAACAAGGGCTGTTGTTGCTATTGTTGTTCAGTCGCTCAGTCGTGTCCAACTCTTTGTGACCCCATGGACTGCAGCACGCCAGGCTTCCCTGTCCATCACCATCTCCCAGAGCTTGCTCAAACCCACGTCCATCGAGTCAGTGATGCCATCCAGCCATCTCGTCCTCTGTCGTCCCCTTCTCCTGCCCTCAATCTTTCCCAGCATCAGGGTCTTTTCCAATGAGTCACCTCTTCACATCAGGTGGCCCCCATCAGGTGGAGCTTCAGCTTCAGCATCGGTTCAGGATTGATTTCCTTTAGGATTGACTGATTTTATCTCCTCACAGCCCAGAGGACTCTCAAGAGTCTTCTTCAACATCACTATTCAGAAGCATCAATTCTTATGGTCCAACTCTCACATCCATACATGACTACTGGAAAAAAAACAGCTTTGACTAGATGGACATTTGTTGACAAAGTAATGTCTCTGCCTTTTAATCTGCTGTTTAGGTTTGTCACAGCATTTCTTCGAAGGATCAGGTGTCTTTTAATTTCATAGCTGCGGTCACCATCTGCAGTGATTTTGGAGCCCAGAAAAATAAAGTTGGCCACTGTTTCCCCATCTATTTGTGAGAAAGTGATGTGACTGGATGCCATGATCTTAGTTTTCTGAATGTTGAGCTTTAAGCCAACTTTTTCACTCTCCTCTTTCACTTTCATCAAGAGGCTCATGCCACCACATACCAAACATATTAAAGTGAGAGTTTTTGTGGAAAAAGGAATAGAAATAGTATGAGGATGAAGGTAGAAAAATAACATAAGAAACCACTGGTCTTTTGCATACACTAGATTATATTACTCTGTACTAAAGAATTTGATTAGCTTGATTTTAACTAACTGAGTGAAATTTTTTTTTTTTAATTAAGAAACTTTACTATACAAATGCCCTAGGGCACAGGAGAAACCAGTACCTAAGGAGAACTGGGTGAAGACAGAAAATCCCACAGAGAGTATATTCAGGATACAGATAAATAAAGTGTGGTCTAGCCATATAACAAAATATTACTCAGCTATAATATGTAATAAAATTCTGAGACAAGCTGCAACATGGATGACCTCAAAAAAAAAAAAAGGTAAGTAAAGAAGGCTAACGCTAAAGGTCACATATTTAAAATTCCATTTACATGAAACATCGAAAATAAGCACATCTATAGAGACAGAAAACAGATTAGTGGCTGCCAGAGGCTGAGAGAGAAAGGGATAGGAAGTGACTGTTTAATGGTATGAGGTCTCCTTTGGGGGCAATAAATCCGCCTGCAAGGCAGGTCCGGTTCGATCCCTGGGTCAGACAGTTTCCCTGGAGGAGGGCATGGCAACCCAGTCCAGTGTTCTAGGCTGGAGAGTCCCACGGACAGAGGAGCCTGGTGGACTACAGCCCACGGGGTCACAAAGAGTCCAACACGACTGAGTGACTAAGCACACAGGGGTAATGGTTGCACAAAATCATGAATGAACTAAGTTCCAATGAATTGTATACTTTAAAATGGTAAACTACATGTCACATGAACTTCACCTCAATAAAAAAAACATAAACTTCACAGATATCAGGCGAAAGGGTAGATAACTTCTCTTTGAAGAAATGTAGCCTTATTGTAAGTTCAATTAATCTCAGTCTTCAAAACAGGAGGAAGCCCATCTCCCAGACTGGATCTTTTAAAGGAGAAGCAGAATACATTTCATGTCTTTGTAATGTGTTTTTGGACCAGGGTGCATATAATGGATTTCAATAATATTTTTGACTGTTTTATTATGTTTTCATTAATGATATGTGTCTCACTTTACCAACAAAGGTCCACATATTCAAAGCTATGGTTTTTCCAGTAGTCATGTGTGGTGGATGTGAGAGTTGGACCATGAGGAAGGCCGAGCACCAAAGAACTGATGCTTTGGCCACCTGATACAAAGAGCTGGCTCACTGGAAAAGACTCCAATGCTGGGAAAGAGTAAAGACAGGAGGAGAAGGGGGCAACAGAGGATGAAATGGTTGGATGGCATCACTGACTCAATGGACATGAGTTTGAGGAAACTCTGGGAGATAGTGAAGGATACGGCAGCCTGGTGTGCTGCATTCCATGGGGCTGCAAAGAGTCAGACACCACTTAGTGACTGAATAACAACACCAACTAGTTCTTTCAGTGGTTGTATATATATGTGGTTATTATCCATAATGGGCATGCAAAGTTGCTTCAGTCTTGTCCAACTCTTTGGGACGCTATGAACTGTAGCCTGCCAGGCTCCTTTGTTCATGGGATTCTCCAGGTGAAAACACTGGAGTGGGTTACTGGGCCTCCCTCCAGGGGATCTTCACAACCCAGGAATCAAACCTGCATCTCTTATGTCTCCTTCATTGGCAGGGGATTTCTTTACCACTATCGCCACCTGGGAAACCCTATTATCCATAATACATAAGTATGTTTATGAATTATATAATTATTGCACACCTTAAATACAATTTTATCATTATAATGAACACTATACCTATACAATTGACCCTTGGCTATCTCAGCAGCCCACCAAAGCTCCTCTGTCCTTGGGATTTTCCAGGAAAGAAACAGGAGTGCGTTGCTATTTCCTACTCTAATACTTTATGATATGTGTATGTATATATAGCCACACTTCTAGACACTGGGGGAGTGTGACATTGGAAGTGGAGTTTAATAATTAAAATGAAAAAATGATTAGAGAATTTCAACAGCGCATGTAAGATGGTAGACAAAAGACTGTAAACTTGAAGATGGATTAATAGAAATCAATGTAAAAAATGAAAAGATTTTGAGAGAAAATGAGCTAGGGGACCCATTAAGCACACTGGCATATATGGAAAGAGTATCAGAAAGCAGGAAGAGAAAGGGGAGGAAGAAAAAAAAATAGTTGTAGACATAATGACTGGAAACGTACCAAGTCTAATGGAAAACATTAAAAGACAAAAAATTAGGAAGATGGCAAAATAAAAATATTCTCAGATAAACAAAGACCATGAGAATTTTCTGCTAACATTCCAACTTATAATGATTACTAAAGGAAGACATTTGAACAGGAAAAAAAAAAAGCTTGATTTTCTTAGGTTTGAAAATACTGGACTGATTCGTTAAAGATGAGTGTGTATCTGTACAAAATGTTCCAAAAGTTTTTGTTAAGTTTATTAATTTTAGAAACAAAGATGTTGGAAACTTATGAAAAATTTACTTTGAAGCTTAACTATTAGAATTTGTTTTATACTTCATAACTTTAAATTTCATGTGGTTATTGATTTAATTTTAAGACCCTGTATCTACATCTAGTGAAAATTAAATGAAATTTTACAATTTTCTTAATATTTCCAAAATTCACATGGCTAAAAGATATGAAAGAAATTTTAGTTCCATGCCTAGGTCGATGCAAGGCACAAATATACTATGTGGAAAATTTGGAGTTACAGACAAGGGAATCCTGAGAGTAAGAATTCCTAGAATCAACCAAAACTATAGGGACAACTCCAGATTTTTAAAAGCCATTTATGGGGCTCAAGTAGAGATTTGGGAGAAAAAAAAGCAGTATTGTCTGAGTTCCAGATGGGATGAATTGAAACTAGACTAATATTTCTGTCTAACAGGATGAGAAGGTAGGACGGGAAGGCTCAGAGAAGGGAGATGAATGAAGCTGTGGGGATGGATGGTTAGGGAGGAGCTCTAAATCCAGCTGCCTCTTCCTCTGCTAATCCTTCTTACTCAAAAGGGCCCTTTGTGACCAGACCACATCTCTGTGATGTGAGCCTAATACTTTAGTCCCCAAGTGCACACCTGGCTCAGTTTCCTGAGGGCGGTTGTGTGATTCAGATGAAGGAGAATCCTCTCTGTTTTTTCTGAAAAAACACTTCTGATATTTGGCTGAACTCCAACTCCTCCTTCTGGGTGATCGATACCATCCTCGCTTTTCTGTGTGGACTGGGGCTCTTTCTCCTGATCCTTCCTTACCTGGAGAATAACCCATCCTTTGCTCCCCCTAGGAAACATGGAAACATCAGGAAGGTAAGGAACTCTTGGTTCAGACTGACAAGCACCTGGCTATCTCTTCTTTTCTGTTATTATTTCCACTTTTCTAAACCAACTAGAGACTTTTGAAATGAGAAAGAACAGGGCATCTATTCTCAAGGAAGAATAGAACATCATGCCCCTAGGGACAAACCAGGCTGGTCAGGGAAGAGAGTGAACACTAGGATTTCTACCCAGAGATCTCAGACCAGATGTCCTGGTGTGCATGCCCCGAACAAAGTGACCAGGGACCGAAGATTGGATACTGAGTTCAATGTCAGCTAGAGCACAGAACTCTGAACACCAGTTCACCAGTCACAAACAAATGTCTAGGCCAGGGCTGGTTGGCTGGCAGTACTGAAATCCTAAGAGCCTCAGAGCAGGGGCTGGAGTGGAGTTCTGGCTTCAAGAAGCAGAGACTTACCTCATGGAGCTCAGTTTCACCCATATGTCTGCGAGTGCATGTGTTTTTTGAACAGAGGAACAGTGATGAAAGATCCAGGGTGAATCTCACTTGAAAATCCTTGTCAGTGAGTGAGTGAGTCAAAGTACCTCAGTTGTGTCTGACTCTTTGAGACCCTATAAACTATACAGTCCATGGAATTCTCTAGGCCAGAATACTGGATTGGGTAGCCTTTCCCTTCTCCATGGGATCTTCCCAACCCAGGAATCAAACCCAGATCTCCCACATTGCAGGCAGATTTTTTACCAGCTTAGCCACAAGGGAAGCCCAAGAATACTGGAGTGGGTAGCCCATCCCTTCTCCAGTGGATCTTCCCAATCCAGGAATCGAACAGGAGTCTCCCACATTGAAGGCAGATTCTTTACCAACTGAGCTATCAGGGAATCCCTGAAAATCCTTATATTCTTCAAAAAAGGAAAATAGAAAATATTTTTATACACTTTAAATATTAGTTTAAAGAATGAAAGACCACAGAGCTGTTGGTGAAACATAGCAAGTCATATTATGTATGGACACTGTTTGATCCTTGTCTAGAGAGGAGAGAGAGAGAATTGGCTCCCAGGCCCTTATTTTTTGTCTCTCTCAGCATCACATGGAGTGGAGGGGAAGAAGCAGGAGCAGAATAAGAAATGGAGCTTTGAAAGGTAAGTTCTGACATTCAGTCCTGTGAGCCCCAGGTGTTAGCCCTCACCTCTTCAGTCATGATGGCCCAGTTCCACAAATTTCAAGGAGACCAGTGGCAGGGCCATCCCACAGTAAACAGAACACCCAGGGAAACTCTGGGAAGGAGACCAGAACCCAGATATTTCCTAGATTCTGTGTATAGAATGAAGCCTAAGGGGTCTGGAAATGGACGTTGCCCAGCAGACATGTGTGAGATTCACTGGACCAATAAAGCCTGGATTGGGAGGTGGGACCTCTGGGTCCAACTATGGACACCTCGTTTAACTTTGCTCAGATGTCACTGCAAGGTGACCCACACTCATTCTCCTCAACAGGGGATTATGAGGGTAGCAAGGAGTAAAGGATATGGAAACACTTTGTAAATGATAAACCCTTTCATGAGCTTCACTTCACCATCACTATCAGGGATCATATGACCTTGGATGCTGGTACTTGGGCTCCCATCTCCCAGTTGCAACCCCTTCAAGGGACCTACAGTCAATGCCCCACAAGTCCCCTAGACTCCTGCCTTAGTCCTCATGATGAGTCTGCCAATTTCCAGCTTGCAGAGATTGTCTGGAAGCACTGGAAGAGGTCTGGGACCTGACTTCACTTCTGCAAAGGTAAAGCATCTTTCTTTCCCTTCTCTCCTACATGGTCCTTTCTCCTAGAGCCTATGGTATGACCACAGGACTGCAAGCAGCCTGGGACTGAGCTAGGAGGGGGGAGCACTGGGACAGAGAACGGCTAAAGCCTTGGTGGGAGGGACAGCAGGAGCATTGTGAAGTCAGCATGGGGACTGAGCAGGGCCATGGGCTGCAGGCCTGGCCTGCCCAGCCCACCTGGCCCCGGGGCTCTTGGCTACGGCTTGTTCTTCATGTATTCTGCAGACTTCTGAGGAGGCTCCCTGACAAGGGCGGCTTTCATCAGGTATCCAGTCAAGATGACCCTGGGGATGTGTGCAAAGCAGGGCTGGCTAGAGCCCACCAGCCAAGTAAGGAAGAGGCCACTCCCACCATGCCCCGCCTCCTCTGATCCAGTGGCCTCTATCTTAGGACTCCACCCACTCTCCACACTCAGTGTCTTCCTTAGATTCTGTTCACTCACTTTCATCTGAGAGCACCTCTCAGTGATCGGAGCCTTTCTTTCTCCTGGACAGCCTTTCACCCTAGCCACTGGCTCTTTCCACTTCCCCACCATGCCCCAGTAATGGGGAGGCCGGTCCTCCACCTCCAAGAGCCTCCTCCGACTCCCCACTACTAGGTTCTGTGCTGAGTCTCAATCAGGGTGCCTGCATGTCACTCCCACTGGGCACCATCCCACACAGCTTGTAACCACAGTCTCCTTGGAGACCAGCCATCTCAGGGCTTGTCCACTCAAGCTGTCCTCTTTCAGCCCTGTCTTGGTGGCATGGGGCTGCCAAATCTTGGAGTCTCTCTACCATGACAAACTTTGAGTCCCAGCAAAAGCACCTTCCCTGCCATCCACCAGAGGCCTCATTTTGGGGACACCGCCAAAACAGACAGATAGAGGCCAGTACCCTCTCATTTGTCAACCCGGATGTCCAGAAGCTGCTGGAGATACTAATCACCAAGAAAGTAGAACTGAAGTCTTGGAAGGAGGAAGAAAACAAGGAGGAGGCAGGCTACCACCCGAATTCTTTGGAGAAAAGGATCAAGTTACTGGGTGACAAGCAGGATGCCTTGGGTCACCAACACTTCTGGAGCATAAAAGGCAAACATGATCAGCTGCTTGGTCCCAAGAAGCCCCCACATCCTGACACTTTGGGGGGCTGTCTACAGAAGACATGCAGCCAGCTCTTCTGGGGTCTCCCCTTTCTGCACAGTGAGTCTCTCATAGCTGCTGTCACAGTACCTGGGTCAGCTCTAGAATTATGACATGTCTTATTCAATGAACTCTCTAAGGCTGAAAAATTTCAAATTCAATCTAAAGTAACTTCACAACTGTCACTGGCCCAGCCCTTGACCCACTCTGTGGCCCAGGCTCAACCTCAATCCTTGACTCCAACCATGCCCCAATTGCAACCGTCACCTGTGGGTCACATGGAGACTCAGGCCTGACCACAACCCTTGACTTCAACCATGTTCCAGTTTCACTCACCATCTGGGGCTCACATGGAGACCCAGGCTCCACCCCTACTCTTGACTCTGACCATGCCCCAACATCAACCACAACCACAGGTTCCTGTGGAGACCCAGGCTCAATCCAAATCCTTTGCTCCAACCATGACCCAGTGTCAATCACCATCTCAGGCTCACATGGAGACCCAGGCCCAACTCCAACCCTTGAATCTAACCATGCTTCATTTTCAACCACCACCGTCTCATGCTCATATGGAGGCCCAGCCCCAACCCCAACCCTTGAATCCAACCATGCCTCAATCTCAACCACAACCTCAGGCTCATATGCAGACCAGGGTCCAACCCTTACCCTTGACAACAGCAAAGGCCCAACATCAATCACCACCACTTTGGGCTCACATGGAGGCCCAGATGCAACCCCAACCTTTTACTCCAACCATGCCCCAAGGTCAAGCATGACTTTGGGCTCAGTTAGAGACCACTACCCATCTTATACACTCTTTCCCAATCAAACCATCTTCCTCTGAATCACAGACTAGGTACCATGATGTATCTGGCCCTATAGTCCAAAATAAGGCACAATATTTCATCCCCAAAGCAATTCATACCCTAGAACATCACTGTTTGCAAAAGCAAGTAGAAAGTGGGAAAACTTTACCCTCTTTGGCTAAAAAATCTCAGCAAGTGTTTAGCCAGGTCATTCCCAACCTTCCCCAGGAAAGCAAGTCTTCCCAGGCCAACACCTCTGTCTCCATCTTTCCTGGGGATTTGATCAGCCCTGAGGTTTGGGAGAAATTGGAGCACCACATTTCCGAAAGGTTCATGGAACAAGAGAGTAGCCTGCCCTGCAGAATCCAAGCTTCTCAAAGACTGATGCAGCCTCAGGATCAATTCCCAAGGCCTTGTCAGGCACAGGGCAGGGAGAGGCCCTCAAGTCCCTCTGCAGGTCTAAGCAAAAGGAGCTAGGATGCACAGAAGATGAGCCCCAAGTGCCCAGCACAAATCCTACCAGGGACAGACCTGTGCCATGATGTAGGGCAGAGCACGGGGGGAGCCCATAAAGTTCTAAACAGGACATCAGCAAACCACCCAATGAAGGTTCCCTTCTCCAAACTGGTGCCCCAGTTAAGCAAACTGGCCTGTCCTGTAGAGGTAAAGCCCAAACTGAGGGAGGAATATGGTTCTGGCATGCGCAGTGGCATGACTTACCCTACAAAATTGAGTCCGTCACCTTGCACAAGTTTACTGTTTCCTTGCTTGACTGCCAAGTGCTGGGGCAGTCAGTGTCACTTCAGGGAATTTTGAAGGGAAGATCTTCAGGGAAATGGTCCTAGCAACTGCTAGGACCTCAGTATTCCCTGACTAGGGCTGGCTAGGCTGGAATAGCAGGGCTCCTGACTGGCTCACCAGGTTTGTTTCTGAGTCCAAGCTCTTTCTGCCTGCAGCATGACAGACCATAAACTGGGAGATGAGGTTTTGGGGCAAGGAAGAACAACTTTATTTGGAAAGCTGGCAGACTAAGGAGATGGCAGGCTAGTCTCTGAAAAACAAAAATCTTATCAGGGCTTGGATTCCAGTTTCTTTTATAGAACAGAGATGGGGAGGAACTGAGGAAGTAAAGGAAAAGTAAAGAAAAAGACCATAAGTCTTCCTAAAAATCTCCCAAATAGCCAAGCTCAGGGAGAGGGTGTGGTAATATCTTCTTTCTTGCAACTGTTCAAAGGTGGCCAGGGTCAGGATGTTTCTCTAAACAAAGGCACTTTGGTTTGACATGCAGGCAGAGACAGTGTTCCGTGAGGCAAACCATTATGTATAGACAGTGTCCTTTCAGTGAACAAAAGCAATGGGAAGCAAAGGTAAAAGTGAAAGAAACAGACTCAACAGTAGTCAGATTTTGTTCTTCCCTGTAACATCACTACTTATCAATAAACTGTCAGTATATTGTTGCAGAGTACCCTTATCAAGACTCAGTTCCCTTGCATTTCCAAAAAGATGGGGGCTGTCCTGAAAACCCTGGGAGCAGTGTCCAGGTATATTCAGTAGCCTCCAGGGTGTCAGGGTCCCTCCACTAGGCATGGGTGGGATGGTTTGAGAGAATAGCATTGCAACATGTATATTATCATATGTGAAATAGATCACCAGTCCAGGTTCAATGCATGAGGCAGGGTGCTCAGGGCTAGTGCACTGGGGTGACCCTGAGGGATGGGATGGGGAGGGAGACAGGATGGGGAACACATGTACACCCATGACTGATTCATGTCAATGTACGGCAAAAACCACTACAATGTTGTGAAGTAATTAGTCTCCAACTAAAATAAATAAATAAATTAAAACAAACAAACGAACAAAGGTAAGTAATAAGGTACTGAGAGTCTAGACGTAGGGGAATACAGAGAAATGCATCTTTGTGGTACTAAACAGAAATGCTGAGTGCTTCATGGCACTTGGGTGAGGAAAGTGCACAGGTTTGGTAGCAGTGGGTAAACAGGGACAAATGGCTTAGTCACTGCTCATAAACCTTGCACAAACTGATACTGCCTATTAGGGTCCTGAATGGTGCAGGGTCAGGGTGGGGAGGATCGGGGTGTTGCAAGGGGATTGGCGGGGCCTAATGAGTCTGTGTTTTAGGAATCTGGTGAACAGCAGTTGGATTCCCCTCACAGCCCCAAGTTTTAAAGGATGTTGTTTTTTCCAGGGGTATATTTCCCCAGGCCTTAACCTTCTTTTTATTGGAGGAACTTGTTTCCCCTCTCCTGGTCCGGAGGTATCCCAAACTGCAGGATCTACTTGTTCTCTAATTTTGGGGGGAATATTTTGATGACCAGCAGGTGAGTCATCTGGGGGTGCTAATAGATGCAATCTCTCCTTGAATTCTCTACCTTCTTGGACTTCACCACGTCCTAATAATATACTAGCTCCTAACTTATTTATCAGATCTCTTCTGAGGAAAGGGACATGGAATTCTGGAATATACAAAAGGGAGTGAGAAGTAGTAATGGACCGGACTCTTCAGATGTAATTGCCTTCCCTTTGACAGTCCATCAGCTCCCATCACAGTACAGTCTCAGTTGGAGACAGGGCCAAGTCAGAACAGAGCAGGCAGCTCCAGTGTCTACAAGAAATTCAGTTCTCCTACCTGCTCTATCAGGGGTGACCCGAGACTCCCTGGAGTAATGAGGATGGATCAAGTGGAATCTGGAGCCAGGCAGGTACTCAGGCGTGTGGCTGGTGTGTAGAACTCTCTCATAGATTCACAAGGACCTGGCGTCAGTTGGGATTGCCCCTTATGCATCCCATAGGAGAGCGCTCAGGACATTCCCCCTTGCAGTGCTTCCCTTCATGACAAAAGGCACATTGGTTCAAGCCCAGGCAGCTTCTTTGCCATTTGTCCAGACATCTAAGCCCTCCAGTGTCCTCTCAATGCAGTGGGTGAATCACAGCAGCCAAAAATTGCTTTATTTACTAGCCCCTTATCCTTATTGGCCTCCTCCATCAAGTCCTGGTTATTATAGACCTTGAATGCCTCCTCTACCAAGATTGACAATGGGGTTGGGAGTCTAGCCTCAAGTTTTTGTAATTTTCTCCTTGTATCAGAAGAAGCCTGGGTGACAAAATGCAAGGCCAAGAGTATCTTCCCTTCTGCAGACAGAGGCTTTCCTGAATGCCTCTGTCACCCAGCTCAGGAAGACTGTCAAGTTTTCATCTCTTTCCTGTGTAACCTGTCAGATCTTATCATAATTTACAGGCTTCACCACAAACTTTTTCATTCTCTCTGATAGACAAGTAATATAATGTCTCATCCTAGCCTGACCTATACGATCTTCATAG